GTTGTAAAATTTTCATATTTATTTTTTTAGTTAAATTATATATGGAATATTAATTTCGTTTTTGATATAATTTGGAAACATTAACATTTTCTAAAAATAATACTTTACATTTAGTATATCTAAAAAGACAATAATGTTTTGTTAATACTACGTTTTTATTTTTGATTTTCCATTTTTATAATAGTTAACATTTTTATGTAATTTGTAAAATGTTAATATTTATTTTGTTATTTAAATTATATATGGAATATTAATTTCGTTTTTAATATAATTTGGAAACAATGACATTTTCTAAAAATAATAAACTAATATAATGATGTGTTATTATACGATTGGAGGACTTAAATCCTACGTGGACGCTCTCAATGGCTTATAGCCTCAACTTTTATATAGTATAGATTGATGAATAAACAAATATTATTTGATTATATATGTGAATAATCAGCTAAACTTAATATTTTTGATAGTAAATTTCTTTTTCCAACTAAGTAATTTTAATTAATTGTCTGATATATTAACTGTTCAAAATTGGCATCTTACTATCTTCATAGACAAAAAATAAACAAATTTTCATTTTCTAAATTCACAGAAGACATTTGAGATTAGCTTAAATTGTTTCATAAAGTTTGCAGACACTAATTTTAATTGTCCTAAAAATAACCTAAAAACAAATAACCAAAAGTAATCATATTATATGATTCGATTCAGATTAGATTTTGGTATATAGCAACTTTAAAATATTCAATTAATTATATAATGGTACATAAAATATATAACATTAATTATAAAAAAATAAAATATCAGTTTATAAAAATATAAAGTTTAACACCCGCACGAGTCAATCTCTAGTAATCAATAAAAGATAAGTCGGCCGAAAACCTATAAAAAGATATGAAAGAGATACACATTTTGGGCCAATTGTCTATCACATATTCACATTTACTTTCAGAGTCATCCAGACACCTCGCTTATGACACACACACAAAGAACTAGACAAAGATATTTTCCTTTGGCGCATCACCTTTCTTCTGGCACATTGCCTCTTTTCTAGATATATCACCTCTCAATGCTCATCCATGCACATGTCTCATTTGTAATGAGATTTGGTTTGATATTTCAAAGAGTACCTAGGTATACTTTACCCGGATTCAGCTATAAAATATAATAAAAACTTTTTTTATTTTATTCACCTAGTTCAGATTTCAGCACAAAGATTTTTCCTAAACACACTATCAAAATATCGTGTATACTTCCATAACATCATTCACATTAAACAAAAGTGATTAGATATTGTTTGTGAGGCTAAAACAGAATCCAATTAAGGCCCAAAAGATGAGCCTTTTCCGTATATTCCCTTTCTCAAACCCCGATTCTTCCCACGGCGGCGAACATGACGATGCGTCTTCCTTTCCCGTCACCGCTCCGCCGTATCCCAACCCCTCCGACCTTCACCTCTTTCACTCCACAGACTCGCAATGTCACGATGGCATCAGCAAAAAGAAGCCCAAAACGTCTCAAATACTCCACTCCTAAATTCACTAAAGAAGGAGAGTTTCTTTCAATAGAGGTGGAACCTTCCGGTGCTGATTCATGGAAACTAGAACCTGTTATCGACCTTCTCAAACAAGGAGCAGTTGGTGTTATCCCCACTGATACAGTTTATGCAATTGTTTGTGATTGTAAGAACCATTCCGCTGTTGAACGTCTCCGAAGGTTTGTCCCTTTTTCTATTTTTAGTGTTAAAAAAAGAATTTATTTTATTACCTAACTTAAATGTTCTGTTTTTGGTCTTTGTAGGATTAAAAAGATTGAATCTTCCAAGGTCAGGACCATGTGCTAGCTGCAAAATGGACTTGTTACATAAACAAGGGCTAACTAACTCTTTGTTTTTTTTTTTTTTAATTGTTATGATGCAGCCACTTAGTATCTTATGCCGTTCGTTAAGGGACATAGACACGTATACAATGGGGTTTCCTCGTGGTGATGGTCATGGTCATGCTAACGTTTTTCGTGTTGTTAAGCAATGCTTGCCTGGACCTGTGAGATACTAACTCTTGTGCTTTTAATTTTCATCTGTTTATTAACATGATGGCGTATGTTTTTGCGCAGTACACTTTTATCTTGACTGCAAGCAAAGAGTTACCTAAGCAATGTATAGGGTATGGCACGGCAAGTGTGAAGTATGCTTCTAGGAAGAATGTTGGTGTTCGTATATCGGATGATGCTGTCTGCCAAAGTATTTTGCAGGCCATGGATGCTCCTCTGATTTGCACGAGGTTAGTTGCTTCTTCATCCTAATCATTTATCATGCATCTATAGAGGGGTAATATATGTATGATAAATGTCAGTGTGAAAGGGCCAAAGGAAAATGAATGGATGATTGATCCAACCGCAATTGGTGACATATATGGACCAGAGGTACTGATAGCTGCTCTCTATTGACTAAAGAGGCTCCTTAGCTTGATTTACTCTCTGTTGACGTTTTCTTTTTTTTGCAGGGTCTGGATTTTCTGGTAGATGGAGGTGTAAGAGTGGCTGAACCATCAACCATTGTTGATATGACAGGACCATATCCTAAAGTCATACGTGAAGGGAAGGTAAAAATAGACGATGAAAACATTCAGTTGCATGCTACTTTGATTTTATCCAAAAAGAGGTTAACGTTTGTTGTTCTTACAGGGACCTATATTGCCATGGATGGTGGTTGAAGACGATGATGACTCACGCCTGCGCCAAGACCTTATAGCTTCTGGAACTTGAACAAAACTTAAACGCTGACTCTTGTCACATGCTTCCTTGTAGCTAACTGATGTGGTTTATCCGTTTATGTGAATAGAAATATTTCGAATGTGAATCCAAGAGCCGATCAAAGCACGCACAAAAACAAAGTGAGTGTACCATATAGATGCATGAGACGTATCATGCTTCTTTAAACGACTCTGAGTCTTGCCTGATATTAGATAATCTATTTATAATTACATTATCGATTGTGGAGAACGACAAAAATTCAACTAAGTATGAGAAATGTGCGAAATCTTTTTCCATAAATCCAGATAAAAGTAATAGTAGCAGGATAAAGAAACCGAAGAAACAAAACAGAGTCTGAAACACACAAAAATTGAGATTCAAAACGATGGAAAGACAAAGTACTTCTTCCTCACTTCTTCTCTTCTTTCTCAGCATCAGCAGCTCTCTTGGCTCTAGCACCGGCGTGTCTCTTGTTCGTGCGCTCTAGGCGGATCTTGTCATAGGCCTTGAATGATTTCATTTCAGCGGTCAACTTCACAAGCTCCATTGCTGGCTTCTCACGGACGATAGGCATGTAGTCCCCTTGGACTTGAGTGGCATTGGCCAACTCCTCTGGTGTAGAGTCACCAGCCTGACACAAAAGAAATAGAAATAAGTCTTGAGCACAAATCTAAAGTATAATGTAAAGAACTGGAAGATTATTGTTTCGAAGTAAATACCTTGACCTTCCTGGCACGACGTGGGAAGACGACGAGCTTAGCCTTGTAGGTCTTGAGCCTCTGGACATTGGATTGAAGACCCTCCAAAGATCTGTTCTTACGGCGGTGATCAACAGAAATGCCGATGGTGGGTGCCAACTTCTTGGGGATTCCAGCAGCCTGAAGACATAAGTAAACTCCATAAAACAAATATCCAACACGAAATGAAACATGAAAACTAAAAAGAAACGGACAGAGATTACAAACCTTAAGCTCTTCAAGAGTGAACCCTTTACCGGTCCTGACCTTCATGTTGTACTTGAGAGTCTGACCATGGACAACAGGGCGAAGAGGTCCAGCGGTGGGACGGGGGAAGATCTTCACAGCCTTCTTTTGTCTCGCTGAGTAAAACACAATTCACAAAAGTCCAGATTAAATACAGAGACTATGGTTAAAAAAAAAAACATAAAAAAAAACATAAACAGAGAACATTGAAAACTAACCAGCTCTTCTTCTGGTTTTCCGGGCAGGCTGGTTGAACCAGGTCTTGACATAGTTCTGCCAGTGCTTCTTGAAATGGCCATTGGGGATGACATTGTTGTGCTTCATTTCTTCACCTCAGCTGCGAAAGTAGTAACCATCAGCAAGAGTTAGAATCATAATATTCAAAAAATAACATTAAGCAGCTGAAAAAAAATCATATAATGTTAACTTTACACTGCAAAGCGAGGCCATTTCTTATATACGTTAAGATGGAAGAAGCAAAAACAGATAAGACCACACTAAAAGTAAGCAACACATCTCAAATCTCCTCATGGAGATACCAAAATAAACGAAACTAACATAAGTAGATTCAAATTCGTTTTACATTAGAACGTTTTTGAATGAAAGTGTTAGTGTTACTCATTACAAGTGGCAGGAGAAGAGTATTCACATGAATATCACAGGAAAGTAATAATCATCAGCCAAAGTGAGAATCATAATATTCGCAAAAAAAACAATTAGGCAGCTGCAAACAAATCTAGTAAATGTAACTTCACACTGCAATGGTAAACCGTCTCTGATAAAAGCTAACATAGAAGCAAAAACAGATAAGAAACCACACTAAAAGGAAGCAACTTTATGCACGTTTTGTGATGATACTCATTCAAAGGGCGATACTTTCACTAACCCACTAACGCAAAACAGACAAAAACCCAACGAAATGGTTATGTCAAGACAGTAGTAAACGAAACATAGAAGTGGCAGGACCTAGATGAACACATACGATCAAAATTGAGAGAAAACTAGATGTTACGGCTGCGTAAATCCTATAGATTAGATCTTAACAACAATGTAAAAATTCACCGAGAAGAAGAATACTTACATGATTGTCACAGAGAAAAAAAAGGTAGCGGCGAGACGAGAGAAATGCTTGTTTGATTATTAGGTTATAAATACTAAAACCCTAATACCAACATGTTGGGCCTTTCATTTAATGTTCTGGGCTGGGCTTAAATAGCCCATTAAAGAAAGAAAGCCTCTTTGGTTCAATTTTAAACCAAAGAAAACCGGTGACGTAACCACCTTCTTTCTCTCGGTTCCTCTTCCTCTCTGTATCCTGAAGGAGTTTTTGTGACTCGCTGAACTAATCAATTGAATGATTTATTAACGAAAATGAAACAAGAATGGTATGTCTTAGATGCTGTAAAAATCCAATTTATTTGATTTGTTGTCTGTTTTGATTCCTTGTTTATGTTCGATGGGTATCTCCAATTGCTTGTTCTCACCATGTTATTAGTTTATGTTTTTTTTTGGCTTGTTCTCACCATGTTATTAGTTTATGTTTTTTTTTTTGCTTGTTCTATCATTGCTATTATCTTTATCAGAGATGTCTTTGTTTTGACACTCTGAATTTACATAACAAGATTTCTCCTTGAGCTGCTTAATGTGTTTTTTTTTTTTTTTTGAATATTATGATTACCACTCTTACTGATGATTAAGTTTGTTGGTTGTTTGAAATGAACTGCGAGATTAAGTTTCTAGCTTCTTTACCATGCTACAAGTAAATACTGATTATGTAGTTTGCGTTGTGGATGTGAATAGTTTCATGTAAGTACATTAATTAGTTAAATAGCTAAATCCAAGAACATTGATGTTGAAATTTTACACACAGCTCTATCAAATTTTCAAGTGTTTAAAACACTAACGTGGCTCTCTTTTTTTCAGATTGCTTGCTGTTGGAAATAAAGGAATTGGAGAAGTTTTTAATCGTTGAGATATGCTTAGTAGGTTGTCAAGGCGTGGCTACTGCAGTTGTGTTCGTCAGCCATGGCTGTTTCTTGGATTAGGAAATCCTGGTGACAAATACAAAGGCACTAGACACAATGTAAGTAGCCACACTTTTTTTTTTGTAGTGATTAAGTTACTTTAACCACTTGGATCTCGTTGTGTCTATTCACATTATATATCTGCTCTTGTTTGGCTACCTACGTTGCAGATTGGGTTCGAGATGATTGATGTTTTTGCTGAGTCAGTTGGGATTCAGATGAACTTGCTAAACTTCAAGGCTATTATGGGACAAGGTATCTGTAAACATGTTTGAACAATAGCTCTGTTAGTTTGTTGTTTTCATTAAGGGCTTACAGTTTTGTGTTGTCCTTCTGTTAGGTTTCGTTGGCGATATCCCTGTTATCCTGGCAAAGCCTCAAACCTACATGAACTTGAGCGGTGAATCAGTAATTTTGCTTCTCCCATTCCTAGTATCATTCTTTTAAAAACTTGTGTAGACTATGTCATCTAGGCTGACTGGAAAAGTAGATGAAACTGAATGATTCGTGAGGCTTTAAAGTGGTCTATTTTACCAGACATATTCTTAAACATCATCTATGTGTTTCATCCTTTAATATTTAAACCAAGGTTAGATTTTCTATATAGACATGTTAGATGTCTGATGAGAAGCTTTCCTGAGTAATAGTTTTAGACTTTGACTTATGGCAGTAATATTTTAGTGTTGAAAAGATTTATGGTCATAAAAAATCTATTGATTTCGTTATTAACTGCGCTTCTCCTGAAATTGATCAGAGTGGACCTCTTGCGGCTTATTACAAGTTACCTCTCAACCGTGTGCTTGTGGTAAACCCGATTACTGTTTCTGTCTCTCAAGGCCTATCCATCCTTTCCATCATCCTAAGCAGAAGACAATTAACTCCATTGTTACTCTTTTGGTATTTTGTGTGGTAGGTTCATGATGACACACAGTTACCATGTGGTGTTCTTCGCCTTCAAGAAAAAGGAGGCCATGGATGTCACAATGGGTATGTGTGTCAAACAGAGTTCATCAATAAGTTTCTTAACTTTTCCTTAGTTCTATTTCTGTCACATGTTTCAAACCGTAGCGATTATCATCATTATATGTGAATCGTTCTATGGAAAACTGTTATATATATACTTGCTTGGCATCAGTTTATATAGTAGTTATCATCCTTGTGTTCCTTCTCAGGTTAAAATCAGTAATGCACCATTTCAGAGGCAACAGGGAATTTGCAAGACTACGAATCGGTTAGTTTAGACCTTTGTTGTAAACTTTAACATTCTTCTCCCCTTAATGAAGATCTTTGTTTCTAAACCGATTTACTAATGTTGAAAAAGGAATTGGGAAGCCTCCGGGACAAATGGATCCAAAGGCATTCTTGTTGCAGAAGTTCAGCATGCTAGCTCGTGAACGTGTAAGTTCTTTTGTGCATTTATAAACAAACATCAAAACATTGTGGTTTAAATCAAAACACTAGGAAAAATGACTTTGTGCATCACTGTGTGCTGTGTGTTTGTGGGGAAAGATTGATGGAGCTTTAGAAGAAGGAGTGGAAGCTCTGAAGCTGGTCTTGTCTAAAGACTTTGGAGAAAGCTGGAGACTCTTCAACGTGGAACAGAAGTATAAACACTTGAAGCAACACACAATATTAGAACCTTGACCAAATTGCTTTATTTTCATATCAAGAATTTTGTTCTGATACTCTCTTTGATAATCCCCTTCTTATTATTTGAGGAGAACTTTTGCAAATCCCCTATATATTAAAGGAGAAGCATTACAACATTTTTTTGTAGCCATGTGTCATAACCACAATCATTCTTGGAATCCTTAGAAAATATGTTAGTCCATCTAAATATATAATAAGCTTTTTATTAAACTACTCATAAATGATTTATTAATGTTTTTCATTGTTTCCTTAAATAAAAATAACAGAATTGCCAAATATGGATAAAGAATATATGACAATACATGATTTTCAATAACAAAGATTTGATAAATATTAGTGTATTTTTAAGTTTTAACTTATTAAAGTAAATTAAACAACTATATTACTATATAATAAAAAATTAGATGTTTTCGTATATAATATACCTTGAAAATTTTAAAACGATTATAAATGACTAAAGTTGTTACAAAATATCACATTGAAATTTTGTGATCCATGGTTAAATTTTTTTATATAACAAAATAGAATTGGTTACAAAATTATATAAGCAAGAAGTCTCATTTAATATATATATATATCCCCTATATATTAATTGGAAAACATTACAACATGTTTTTGTAGCCACGTGTCATCATGAGAATGATTCTCAAATATACAAGAAAAAATGTTGGTCCATATAAACATATAATATACTTTTTATTAAACTAAACATCCCCTATATATTAAAAGAGAAACATTTGAAAAATTGTAACCTCAATTTTTTTAATAATTAAAAAAAAGTCCATGCTTAGGTGTCACTCAATTAGGTAGTCAATTACATTCAATTGAAAAATAAGTAGGTCCACCTTCGATTTTTATATGTCACTAGATACATTTGTTAAACAAACTATATGATATGATGATATGATATTTATGATAGAAGCATTTATGGTTGTTCCAGTAGATATAATTACTATTTTATTTTATTTCCTTAAATAAAATCTACGGAATTACCATAAATGACTAATATATATATATGGCAATTAATGTTTCAAATAATAAATATTTAATAACAATTTATATCTCCTCCATCATTTTTCTTTAATTTTATATTATAAATAAATTGAACAATCAAATTAGCTATAAAATTAAATTTAGATTTTTTCGTATATGTTATATTTTAAATTTAAAAAACGATAATAAATGACTAAAACCATTAAAATTATTATGTTAAAATTAATGATCAATAGTTTAACATTTTTATTATAAAAAGATACACATGATTTTAAAACTGTATGAGTAAAAAGTAACATTCAATAATAAAACAAAATATACATATATATATATATATATATATATATATTGGTTAAACTATATACCATATAAGATTACATAATTATTTTAATTTCAAAAATTTTAATGAATTTTCAAGAACATTTATAAATTATAAACTTATTAAATTTATCACATTGAAAAATTTCGTTATCAATGATTTAAATATCTTAGTTCTTTTTTTTTAATTTTATATTTTTAGAAAATATTAAACAATCGATAATATGGTTATTGTTGGCATATACTATACAAACCGAATGGATGTGATTTTATAAAAACCGTAGGATTTGGATATGGTTTGATTTATAACCGATTAAACTGAAACATGTAAATATGTATATCTATTTGTTACATGAGTTGAACTATAATTATAATTTGTAAATCACTTGAATCACTTGAACACAACTCTGTTTGTTTAAAGATTATAAATTTGATAGACAACAATTAGCTGAAATTCTTTACAATTTTTTAATCTTTAAATAAACAGAGTTGTGTTCAATCGAAGACATATTAAATTGATGAACACTAAATATGGAAGAGTATAAAAACTTTTCTTTCATGCTTCTGTTTTGTTTTATTTTTATTTTCAAAATTTAGAGCTTTGATATTAATTATAAATTTGATCATTTTATTAGATGATAGAAACTTTTTTTGTTTTTTTATTCTTTTATTTAAATATATAATATGTTTTTAGTAAATGACTTTTTGAGAATTTGACTCTAAATATGATCATATTATTTATTTTTATAATAATGTATAATATGATCTCAAACTAAATAATTATGTTTTTTTGGTATAAAATTGAATAAACTGAAAACCAATATATAAACCAAATCAAACTGAAGTAAATATGGATTTGTAATAGTAGTTATGTTTTAAAAATCGAAATACCAAAAAATCGAACTGAACCGAAACCCGATATCCGGATTGAACACCTCTACAAATAAAACCTAACTATTGTTTCATTTTCCAAAATATAATAAAAATAATAATTTTATCCCGCGCAAGGCGCGGGTCTTATCCTAGTAAACCTTTACTTCATGTGTTTATTACATGCATGCCATTTCCTACGTGGCAACTTCACAAGCCTTCTCACACCTTTTAACTAAAAGACCTTAGTTAACTAGAATAATTACACAACATGCCATTGATATAAATATACATATATGACATATATGATATAACAATAAAGACATGCATATACTCGGCATATAGTTAATTAAATTTCCTTATATATTTCCTTATATACGATATATACGATTTCCTTATATACGATACGANTCATAATTAGGCATATATTTAAATTTTAAATATAATATTTTATATTTTATAAAATCGAACTTTATATTTTATATTTCGACAATATTCGATGTACAAAATACTATTATCTTCAACTTCAAAATATATTTCGTTACATAAGTATAAATAAAAATAGGAAAAAAATGCGACCTTATTTCATAATTAGGCATATATTTAAATTATAAATATAATATTTTATATTTTATAAAATTGAACTTTATAAAATATTTCGACAATATTCGATGTAAAAAATACTATTATCTTCAACTTCAATTAACATTAATGACCGAATCTGCATGCGTATTTCAGTTTCCCTTATATGCACTAACCATTGATGTTATTGTATTCGAATATTGAATGATTATATTTCATACATCTTCGAATGTCAACTAAAATTAATGACCGAATCTGCATAGATATTTCTAATATTGAATGAATATATTTCAGTCACATAATTTTAGCAACTAAATCTCAGAATGTTTTTATTAGGTAAACGGTTTAATGGTGTCTTTCCATTTGAATGTCAATCAGCTATATATAATATTCTGAATTAATATTCTATTTCATAATTAGGCATATATTCTATTTCAGTCACATAATTTTAGCAACTAAATCTCGGAATTTTTTTATTAGGTAAACAGTTTAATGGTTTCTTTCCATTTGAATGTCAATCAGCTATATATAATATTCTGAATTAATATTCTATTTCATAATTAGGCATATATTTAAATTTTAAATATAATATTTTATATTTTATAAAATCGAACGTTATAAAATATTTCAACAATATTCGATGTACAAAATACTATTATTTTCAACTTCAATTAACATTAATGACCGAATCTGCATGCGTATTTCAGTTTCCCTTATTTTAGTATTGACAAATTTAAAGTTTACATATGAGACTTGCAGTCACATAATTTTAGCAACTAAATCTCGGAATGTTTTTATTAGGTAAACGGTTTAATGGTTTCTTTCCATTTGAATGTCAATCAGCTATATATAATATTCTGAATTAAATGATATAGCCATAAATTGGAATTTCCTTGATAGACAAGCGCAAATGTAAATGCTATTTAAACATATATAACTCGAGTTCTAAATGTCCATTCGATATTCAGACAAGCAAGAATAAACCTACACATCTTCTATGGCCGCCATGAACCTTATATCTGAGTTGAAGCCTTTCAAGAACCAATGGAAGGTTCAAGTGAAAATTGTCCGCCTTTGGAAAGAGTATTCTGCAGCTGATGGGGAGATTATCGAAATGGTCTTCCTCGATGCTAGAGTAAGTTAAATTTTTTAGAAATGATCGAGTTTTATTCTATTTCTCTTTTTGACGTATGAAGTTTACTTATTTAATTTAATATTCTTGCTACTAGGGAGACAAGAATCATTTTTGAACCAGATGATGTTCCAGAACTCCATGCATTGAGGAAGAAGTATATCATTTCGATGANTCTCTTTTTGACGTATGAAGTTTACTTATTTAATTTAATATTCTTGCTACTAGGGAGACAAGAATCATTTTTGAACCAGATGATGTTCCAGAACTCCATGCATTGAGGAAGAAGTATATCATTTCGATGAGTTTAAAATATTAAAAGAGTGTGTGTTGTTTCGTAAACTAACTAATTGTTATTTTTGTATGTAGGATTGCAAACCAAGAGTTTTGAAGACAATTTAAATTATTATATCATGTTTAATTTTCTATTTATTATTTTATTTTAATATACTTTTTTCTCATTATATCATGTTTTGTTTCTCTAAGTTTTATTATGATATTAATTATTTTAATTTATTTACTACTTTTTTTTAGTAGACGATTTCTTAATTTTTTTGTATCATCATGTATCTATAAGACAAACAGATATATAAGACAAAAAGTGAAAACAAATAGCTATGAATCAATGCTTTGTTTCACAGCTATAATAATATCTCATTATATGACTATATGATTTTTATTACTAATTCACATCCACTACCTATTTTTAGTTAAACAAATTAATATACCAAATTATTGTTCGATCAAAGTCAAAATAATCTCACCCCGCGCATGACGCGGATCAACACCTAGTAGAAGTCTATAAACCTTTGCTAGTGAACCAATCAAGCTCTTTTAATAACGAACCGGTCCGGTTGAATATGATTAATTCCGGTTTGATAAACAGTCAATTTTTTTTTTCTGGTACATATATAAGAAGAAGCGTCTCTGCTTTCTCCGTCGAGGTTTGACCTTGCGTTAATTGCATACAATTCGATCTGCCGCAAGTACGTGAGGTGAATCTCAATGGTTTATATAGTTTCGTGGGACGAGTTCGTAGAACAATCTGTTCAGCTTTTTCGAGCTGATCCCGAATCTGTAGGTTTATCTATTTTTCTAGTATTTGGATTATACAATTGATTTTGAATTGTAATGTGTGTGTGTGTGTGTGTGGTGCAGACAAGATATGTGGTAAAGTATAGACACTGTGATGGTAAGTTGGTCCTCAAGGTTACTGATAACAAACAGGTATTCACTCCACTTCTCTCTATCATCACTTCTTCTTATTGGAGTTACTAGTTATTATAGTAGTTACTGATCCGGATAATAGGTTTGATTTTGATTTGGAGAGTCTAATTTAAACTGGACTTTTAGTGTTTTCTGCTTCTTCGAGTTTTTTTATGTAATTTCCCCAGGCGATGGGTTACATAATAGTAAGCAGTTTATCTTGTTGGATGTTGAATAATGTTTGTTTTTTGTTAGTCAAAGTTTGTGATACTACTTTGAGATTAGTTGAGTTCTACTAAGTGAATTGCATTAACTTCTGTGGTCAATTTTAGCTCCTCTGTTTTTTTAATCCTCTTGTTTCATTCTTCTTCCTTTTTTTTTTAATATGATGGATTCTTTTATTTTTCTGTAACCTTAGTGTCTGAAGTTCAAGACAGACCAAGCGCAAGAAGCAAAGAAGATGGAGAAACTCAATAACGTTTTCTTCACCCTCATGTCCAGAGGACCTGATTGTAAGCATCTTCTCTTTTCGCCTACCAAACTTTAAAAGAAAGTAGAATGGAACATATTGCTTACTTTATTTATTTATCTATTGCAGTTGATCTTTCTGAGGTGAACGGGAAAGAACAGATGGAGACACAGCCTGTGAAGAAAGGAAGAGGAAGGAAGCAATAAGCTCTCATCTTTCTCTTTTTCTTTTTTTCTGGGTATCAAGTTTTTGATCCTTTTTTGGTATATTTTGAGATGGAGATTGTGATGGTAGGATTATCAAATGTGTGTATTTGAACAAAATGTTACTTTATAATACTAATTTGGATATGAATAAAATATTCTCCAGAACTGATGATTTTCTCCACAAAATCTCCTTGTTCTCTCTTTTTGCCTCTAAAATATTGTTCCTTAGTAATTTGATAAGATATTACAAATTGAATTTTCAGAAAACTGGAATTTTTTTCAACAAAGTTTAACTAGTGTATAATTTTGCTATAGCTTAAATCGATTTGTCCAATCATAATGTTGATACGGCTATGTGGTTGTTCGTTTCTTTCTCCCGGTGCAACATTCAATTGCTAGCATCCAAATGCTGTTGTAACCGAATTTACCATGTCTTGAGTATTTGATAAGTGCACATTAAAAGGGCCATATGAGTTTACCCTCCAGGCTCCAAGTTAGGATGCAGCATAAATGCTTCTCAACCTAAAGATATTAACCGCTGTAACTAACTAGATGGGAGATCAAGACGAGAGTTATAATTATTCCACTCCTCTTACTTTACATATTTAGACAACCACCCGCAGACAGAAAGAAACTCCAATCTGTAGATGAAGTTCTCATACACAGCCCTAATAGTCCATTATAGTGGATCCAACCATGTCTGACTTTGACATTTTAATATTTTAATTGCAAATATTTTACCAATTGCTTCTTTAAAAACATTAGGGAACTTGCTATACTCTACCAATCAAGCCCAGTGACACTCCATTTATTTTCCATCACTCGAACACTGAAAGAAAGAGTAGTTTGGGTGAATACAACAGATTGATGAAATTAAAAAGTATTTTGAGGCGCGGTATATTTAAATATCTTAGTTCTATGACAATATGACTCTAAATATGATCATATTATATATTTGTATAATATATAAAATGATCACAAACTAATAATCATGTTTTTGGTATAAAACTGAAAACCGATAGTATATAAACCAAATCAAACTGAAGTACATATAGATTTAGAATAGTAATTATATTTTAATAATCGAAATACCAAAAAATCGAGCCAAACCGAAACCTGATATCCGGATTGAACACCTCTAATCCGGATGAAACCGAACTATAGTTTCATTTTTCAAAACATAATAAAAATAATAGATTCATCCCGCGCAAGGCGCGGATCTTATCCTAGTTTTAATACGAGAGAAGAACCATTTTTTTCCTCTTGGATTACTTTAATGTTATATTGTTATTCTTCCATGTGCAGAGTAGACGTACACGAAATCACTGTAGGGGAGAGAGTTAAATGTATGAAACTACCGGACAAATCATCCCAAAGAAATGTTTAATATACGGTACCATTTACCACCAAACTTTTATAATTAATGTTTGATGCTAAAATTGCATAATCATATTTTAGCAGAAAAGTTGATGAGTCCAACGCTACTAAAAAAACAAAATCCAGTTACAAAAAAGTTACGGAATTCGTGCCAGAATTTTAGATTTAACGCTAGGATTACGGAATCACAATATGACACTATAATTTCATATTCATATTCGTGTTCTGACGCCAATGTTGAATAATATTATTGTGGTAGCTCAATATGCATAACTATGTGTTAGCATCAAATCATTTTTGGCTACCTAAGAGCACCTACATCGCTTAGTTTTTCAAAATGAGCATCTCAACTAAAGAATATTAATACTTTAACATAGCCATCCAGTTTAAATTTAGTGTTTAAAAATTCTGTGAACTACATGCATTTAACCACATGCCATCAAGATATTATATACCAGTTAATAAACAAACGTCCCACGGTTACAAAAAGTTAAGGTTACACAGAAAAATGATCGAAACAACAATCAAAAGATCCAAGAAAACAAAGCACTCAAAACAAATGAGCACAATAAGTAACAAAAAAAGATCTGAGCCATTCTGAGCTACTAGCAACATATGATTGGATTCGATCCTCCTTTGTAACACGTTCAGCAATATAAAAAAGATCCCAAACATGCTTAACGAGAAGCATATTCAAAATTCCGGTGATGCAATGGAAGTAGTCCTTGATAATCAAGGATGATTACCACTTGCATTTAACCATATGGCATTAAGATATCTATATAGTATCTCAGAGTTTCTTAACAAAATCTTTTTTTTTTTTGTAATTCAATATCTTTTACCTTTTACATTTGTCTTTTTATTTTAGTTGCTTAATATTCTATGAAACTGTCTGCTGTTGGAACTGTTCTAAAGTCACATTTTAGAATAGTGTCTTGCCATTTTAGACAGTTAAAATGAGTTTCCATGATTATCATATAATAATATTTTCTTTTGTTTTAGTTTATTCTAATTTGAACAGTGAATAAAAAACTATTTCGATTTTTAAAATGAGTTTTTTTAGTTAGTATAAATCTTGGAATATATCACACTGTTTTTCTACTTTCTATAGATCAACAATAATAAACATATATGAATATTATTTTATATTTAAAAATTATATATTAATATAATTTATGTTAAATTTTTGTGTGAAAAAATAGTGTTATAAGAAGATGCCTAATTTGATCAAAAGAAAAAAAAGAAGAGGCCTTTTTTCTTTTTGAAAAAAAAGAAGAGGCCTAAAGTCCGCTTTTTGGAGCCGTGGATCGCCGTCGGAGGATGTTGACGCCATCGCAATAATTGAGTGTCTCTGTACTTAGTCCTGATACTTTTCTGTAACGAGTAACGACAGCACACGTGGCCTTGTTCTTGTCTTTTGTTTTCGTTTTTCTTTCACAAAATAATCGGAGACTTTAGTGGGGTTTTGTATAACCAAATGTAGACGCAGCAGTGGAGCCAAATGGAGACAATTTAATGTGGTTTGCTACATATATTTCAGATGGGTAAGATATAGCCTCGTTGTAGATATGTAACGCTATACGTGTACGTAATCTCATTTACAACTTTAAATTATCGGTTTTAGAGTATTTTCAACATCTTTTGCCGCAGCCCTGACAGCAGAAAACGACCCCATTCGTATTCTACCTCATTTGAGTGTCTTTGAATCATAGAGTTACTGAATAATATATACAGAGTTAGAGCTTTCAGTAACTCCATGATTCAAAGAAGGATGCCTAAACTTTGACAACTCTTCATAATTCTTCCATGTAACATATGCCAATTTATAGATGGTTCCATTTTAAGAATAAAATACATCATAGTTTAAAATAGCAATATACATGGTTATATATTGTTATTTTTTTGTGAATATCATGAAATGAAATTATCTCTATGTTAAGTTATATTATTTAAAAATTTAATTTGTATTCTAACACTGTAATTTAATTGATATTAGTTACGTTTACTTCAGTAATATGACATTAGCAGTGTTTTGGACGATAAAAAATATTTATGGTTTTAACAGCTATTATTATAAATTACATAAATAATTATAACTAATTAACACCTTGCAATATATTTGACCAGATATATAATTAATATGTAATTTGATATACTAAATAAATTTTAGGGTCTATTATCTTATAATTTATTATTTCATCGCCGAACAACTAAGGAAAAAGTATGAAATATTCGTAAAGCATTTAATGGTTAAACACCTATTAGATGTCAAATTATATGATAGTATTATTAATGTAAAAAAAAATTGAGAAGTTTATATTGAAAATTTACCTCTTATTTCTATTAATTTTATTATTAAATTTGAATCCAATTTTATTAAAATATATAGTCTTAGAATGATCTGTTAGCTAAATTAAAACAAAACAGAAATCCAAATTTTGTGATTTCAAATATTTCCTGAACAGAAATCCAACTTTTTCTAATTCACCCTGAACAGTGAATGATCTAAAAACTTAGTAAAGGTCAAATCATTCACAATATTTCCGTAGGGTTTCATGATAATTGAGTCATTGAGTGTATACCCTACTTAGCCTAAACTTAAACATACGTATTGCATCCGGTGAATCACATGTATCAAGCTCAAGCCCTTCACGGTGCCTCTATTCTTTTGTTGTTTGTCATTTTCCAATTTTGCTTTTTCTCCTTTTTTTATGGCACTAGATATTTATATTGTTTACCCTCAAACGTATACATGTATACGATTTTTTTAGTTTTACTGTCTAACTAAATTCCTTGTAGTTTATATTTGGTTTTCAAAATTTAGTGCATTGGTTATGTAACTAAAAAAAAGTTTCTTCTACCATTTTGTTTCTAATCGGCAAGGAGTGTCAGAAAGTTTTTGGAAAATAAACTCTTTACTCACTTGTAAATTCTCCAGAAATCACCAGATAATTTATAAGAAGTTTTTAAGACGTAATGAAACTAATGATATTGATAAGAAAAATAATTATTACAAACTTCTGATTTGGATTTTTGGACTGTTTTAATTAATTTATACTTATTGACCAAAATATAACGATAAAGTTTCCGTGATTGACATTGGTTCAAGAGGTTAATATTGGTATATGAGAATAATTCAAATTTTTACTGTTATTGAACTTGAGAAGTAACATAAAATTTATAAATAATGTAAAGATACCCATGGTGGATGTATACAACTCGAGAAGAAAAGTCTAACATTTGTTATCTTTTTTTGACATCAAAAGTCATCATTTGTTGTTAAGAAAAAAAAAACCTTCAATTGAAGAAAAATGGCCCCCAAGTTAGACCTGACTTGCCTATAAAAGGATTCCTTAAGCTCACGGACTTTCCTCATCTTTCTCTCGTAAACCCAATCATATAATTTTCTTTTCCTTGAAAATGCATTCTACTTCGTCCACTTGGACGACAATCTTAATCACCTTGGCATGTCTTATGATCCATGCGTCTCTGTCCGATGCTCAACTTACGCCAACCTTCTACGACAGTACATGTCCTAACGTCACTAACATCGTACGAGAAACCATTGTCAACGAGCTAAGATCAGACCCTCGTATCGCCGCGAGCATCCTACGTCTTCACTTTCACGACTGCTTTGTCAATGTAAGATATTACTATTCATATATCCTTTTCCTTGCTAATTATTTGTGTGGTGCATCTTATAATTATTAATAATTTAGTGTTTAACATAAACGAAAATTTTCCGGCACAATTGAACTAATAATTTTAAAAAATAAATAAATTTTAGTTTATTACTGTTTTGTTCTTGAAAATAAGTAGTCTTTTGGATTTTCAGTGTGTACAAAACATACTCGATTTTATTTTAAAAAATAAGTTTTAGGTGGGTGAAACGCCCACCCTAACCTGAATAAAGGTCACCCGCTTACATGTTTGATAGAGAGAAATAATCAATACAAAGTTTTGCATGGATAGATGTCATAAGTTTGTTTTTCATTTATGAACATTTCTCTTCCGGTTTGGATAACCAACCATAGTTTATTTGATTAATCACAATTATGCAGTAGACAAAAGAAAATGAATACTTTTTCTTACTATGATGATTGGCTACTGGTTAGTTATAAATTTCAAAGATGATACAAAACCATATATTTAAATCAATTCACCGTACATGAATTACCCGCAAAGAAACTAATCACGTGTATTATTAATTAAGGGGTCTAGAGTCTAGACAGATATATTGTTTGAAATCTAGCACAAATCCTCACACGTAGCATCAATAATACAAGAATATTCTAAAATAATATAATCGAGATTTCAGTAATATATATCATTATTTTCTAACACTATTTATATTTTGATTTTTTACTTTTCATTGAATAAAGCATGTTCAGATTTTTTTAATCTCTCATCACTTGTATTTTCATTATGTACTCTCTGGTTACTTCCCCCCAAGGAACGAATAAATTGTTCAAATGGATGACAAAAGAACAATGTTTCATCGTTACCAGTGGGTAAAGATTTAATCTATAATTAATGTAATAACGTAACTAATGATTTGTGAAACAATATTTTTGGATTTTGAAAGGGTTGTGACGCATCGATCTTGTTAGACACCACGGCAGCATTCCAAACAGAGAAAGATGCAGCTGGGAACGCAAACTCGGCTCGTGGTTTTCCCGTGATTGACAGAATGAAAGCCGCAGTGGAGAGGGCATGCCCGAGAACCGTTTCATGCGCAGATATGCTCACCATCGCAGCTCAACAATCTGTCACTTTGGTATGTTCTTTTGACCCGTTTATTCATTACATATACTGTTTTCAGTCTTAAATATTTATCAAATTAACACCTAACATATCAACAAGAAAACCTGATTTTGAAATGAATAAATTGGTTGAGAACGAATCGATAAATATTCAAAACGCGTGATGAGTGATGACGTGATATATTAAAGTGAAAAACAGTATATGCACTGTTGCAAAAAAAAAAAACAGTATATGCAAAATAAATTTATGAGAATCTATTTTTAGTATCAAATTTTCAGCTACTGTATGTGACAGACAGTTATGCAAAAATTAATCGGAAATAGTATTTAAAACGCGTGGTCCTGTGAAGAAAACTTGGCATGTTAAATATAGATCATGGACAAAATTAAATCCTTTAGATAAGACTATACTTTTTAGGTAACCCATGATAATTGTTATCATATTTTCCAAGAAATACTGGAGATTAAAAACTTCTATTTGAATATGCAATCAATGAATTTAGTTACATGTTTGTCTTTTTCTGTTTACATGAAAACTTCCAAATAATAACTAAAATATCTGGAAAAAATCTCTACACAAAAAAAAAGTTTTCTGAATAAAATGGTTATTTATATATATATATAGGCAGGAGGTCCTTCATGGAGGGTTCCTTTGGGGAGAAGAGACAGCTTACAAGCGTTTCTGGATCTAGCTAACGCAAATCTTCCAGCTCCATTCTTCACACTTCCAGAACTCAAAGCCAGCTTTAGAAAAGTTGGCCTTGACCGTCCTTCTGATCTCGTTGCTCTCTCCGGTAATTATCAAAAACTAACTAAACTCTAATTAAATTAAGTTGTAATCCCCAAGTTTAATTTATTGATGTCATATTGGTTTTTCTTTGGTTAGGGGGTCACACATTTGGTAAAAACCAATGCCGGTTCATTATGGACAGATTATACAACTTCAGCGACACCGGTCGACCCGATCCTACCCTCAACACTACTTACCTCCAAACTCTTCGTGGACTATGTCCCCAAAATGGTAACCAAAGTGCCTTGGTGGATTTTGATCTGCGTACGCCTACGGTTTTCGACAACAAATACTATGTGAATCTCAAAGAACAGAAAGGTCTTATCCAAAGCGACCAAGAGTTGTTCTCTAGCCCTAATGCCACTGATACAATCCCCTTGGTAAGAGCATATGCTGATGGCACACAAACATTCTTCAATGCGTTTGTGGAGGCAATGAATAGGATGGGAAACATTACACCTCTTACGGGAACTCAAGGACAGATCAGGTTGAACTGTAAGGTGGTGAATTCCAACTCTCTACTTCATGATGTTGTTGATTTTGTTAGCTCTATGTGAGAGTACTGACTCTATGTATGGCTACCAAGACTATATGTTGTAATCAATAATGCGCTCTCAAGCTGTTACTTGAGAATATTTTAATATTTAGACCACTGGCTGTTGTCTCACGCTGTACTCGGTGATAAATTAATAAAGAAGTTGGAGAAGGGTTTTGCATTATTTAACATATTAAACGTACAAGCGGTAAATTCATAAACTTAATTAAAATTTAATACAGTAGTAGAAATTGCTTGTGACATGTTTCTCTGATGTTGTCAATGGTAGAAACTGATTAAAACTAATTCGGTGAAAACAATACTGTAATATCTAGATATTAACTACTCCATGAAACTGCATGCTTTAGTACTTTTACACATACTAGAGATTTTATCCGGGCTACGCCCGGAATTATACAATATAAATGTCTCTTGTATATATTTAACATATATTACATTTATGTTATAAAACTATAAATAGTATTTTGTCAAAAATATAAATAGTAAACTGAATATAACTTTTATAAATTGAATTAAATATGAGTAAAACTCACAATTTCTTGTTTTTAATATTTAAAATATGTATAGGATAATGAGTAAATATGAAATGAATAAAGAATTTATTAAACCTTAATTATTAGCCAAAATATTTTTTTATCTTACATATTTAGATTATAAAAATATATTATTAATCGCAACTGATTTATATTTTTACTTTAAAATCACTAAGCTTGCATTTTTTAACTAATTTAGTTCAATATTACAGAACTGGAAAAATATTAATAGTGTTTAGAATCTATATAGAACAACCTTTGAAATTGACATCAATCTTTTTTCAATGCTAAAATGACTTAAAAAAGTAGCAATTGTAAAATTGATTCTTACTTTACTTTCACCTTATTTTGGTACATTTTCAAATTTATTATTTTGATTACTTTTTTTAGGAGCTGCTTCATATTTTTTGTATCAGCATCTTAAATTTATAATGTATCACTCAACTTGTTGTAAAACATTTGAAAAAATATATGGAAAATTTTAGGCTAAAAAAATCAGTAATAAAACTAATTAGAGAATTTATATTTATGGAATATAAAAGTGATATAGAATTAAAATAAAAAAATTTAGTATTGAAATTTAAAAATGTCATTTAGTTTGAAACAAAACACAAAGAAAGTACTTTTTATCGTATAATATATGAATAATCCGAGTTCAACTATTATTTGAGTGCTCAAGAAAATACACACACTTATCTCTTATAAATTGGTTATGTATATGTATATTTTATTTTTTAATGTTTGAGTTTAAATATCAAAACTCCATTGTTTTAATATATATATATATACAATAAAAATAGAGTAAAAATGTGTATATAAGTTTGATAAAATAATTACAAAATACTTTTTAAAATATACCAAATAAGCAATTTCTATAATATCGCAGATAATAGCTATTACCTATATTTTTTTTAAAAAAGTAGTATTGCATGTATTTAACGAAAACTTATCATTCGTATCTATGATATGTAGCAATTGGTGTGCAAGAAAATTAATGTTTCAATTGGTACAACTTAGAATGAATTCAAAGATTACACCATTTTCTAAACGTAAGTCCCTAAAAGAAGTTTTTTTTGGAGAAATTAGATGTCTTTAGCTTCATAAATAATACTAAACCAACAAATGAGATTAGGTATATTGATATACTCCAAGCACTAACTTTTAATCTCGGGAAATTAGTGTACATGTTGTAACTGTCATAGCCACAAACACACGGTGTGCATCACTTTGTTCGTCCTGTTTCATTATAATTACTCTTTTTTTTATACTACCACTTTGAAACCATGTCAAAAACGTACTCATAAGATTATATAATAACCAAAATATAAAAATCCATTTATCAAAATAAAAGTGTAGAAAACAATGCTAATTAACGGTACCAAACACTGTCCCATAGCGACGAAGTTACACCAAACCCCTTGTCCTAAATCCTGAAGTGATGGTCAAATGGGATTAGATATTAAAAAAAAAGCCAATCATATATAAACTCTCGACGGATGTGTAAGGTCTTGTATGTATACAAAAGAAAAAAAGACTTTGGCCTTGTTTAACCTCGAGGTTTTTGGTCACTGCTGTAGTTGGGTTAGCATGGTGAAGGTAGTAGTCAGTAAGATCGTACATCACATACCAAAGCAGGCCGCCTCCAAACAATGCAGGTGCAGCTGAAAGAGTTGCCAGAAGCTTCGCAAGGTTCCAGAGCTGGAATGGAATGTGCCGTGTTTCCCCTGGAATGGTTCCACAATAACATTAGCATCTAGTTGAAGAGGATTAATTCATAGATAGTGAGTACATGTGTGTGTAACGAACCAGTAACTTTTGGCCTTCATGTGGAAAACGAAACGGTGAAGACAATATTCTATAAAAGTCCAGATAAATGCTCCCAAGGCTACCCCGGTATAAACTTGGCATGATAGCAAAGTACAATTACCATTCAAATAACAGAAATTTACCAAAACTTGAGCCACCGCATCTGTAGTTGTTAGTCCTAACTCGCCTCCCATCTCGATCTCTAATCACATGGCTATTATCCGTATAACACATGTTCTTCTAAGATTTCATCGGAAGACACCAACAGCATTTGGATTGTTGCACGTAAAGGCTGAGACAGTGGGTTGAAGCTAGAACCATAACACCATCCTTTGTCCATCTTGATGCCAGTGCAGATAAAGTCAATTTCCTGCATATTTGGAATATTAGAATCACACACAAAGCTCTAAACATGTGATTTTGTAACATGTTAAAGTGAATCACAGAGCTCTAAACATATAACTTTATAACATGTTAAAGCGTGTTGGTCTATCTGTTAAAATATGAACATACGCTTCAAGATGGCTGTAAACATGAGTTAACTCACAAAATCACAAACCGCTTTTAAATAGATCTCACATAAATACCTTAATTAAAAACAAACGTAATGAAAAACAAACGTAATGGTTAGAAAAGCAGAGCATACAATGTAAGTTGAAGCGGAAATCAGCTTCCCAGCTCGGCTTCTATTGATCAACATTGTCCACATGAGCAACAAATGCAGAAGAACAAAACTGGAATCTGATTCATAGCACAGGCAAAATTGGAACCCCCTTCTTATGGTCCGAGTTGGACGGCTCTGAATAACAACACGTCATCAACCTTTGCGGATGAGGCAACCGCCTTGCCGGAGACGGCATTGACTGAGGAAGCACCAATTTTGACTTTTTTTTCATCGCTTCGGCAGAGGAGCCACTGGCTGTGCATGTACGTTTCAGAGGCTTGGCTGCATGTTTGATCAGCTTCGTGGAGTTAAGTTTTCCGGAGTTGGTGGTTTGGCTGTTCGAATTCATCATGATTGAGGTTTGTGAGAGTGAACACAACTCTAGGAGAGAAAGCGATATAAATAGATCCAGAGATAGGAAGATGAAAGGAACCCATTAAAGAGGGATTCATGGGAAGAAAGTAGAGTGAAGGAGTGGTATCGATGATTCGACTTCGGTTGATAAATCGAAAATAGTGGAAGCAGTCAATAGATTGCAGAGGTTGAAGAAAAGGAAACGTAGAAGACGATGGGATTGTCGACTTCAGCGTTAGGGTTTTGAGATGATGATGTGGCGATTTAAATCATTATGATTGGCTGATTATTTTTAAGGACGTGGCAGCTCTCTCCTTTGAGCATTAAGCCTTTTTAATATAGTTAGATTAAGATAATTTATGAATTTTAAATTACCAATGTATTATTTTTGAAATGTATTGTTCTCTATAACTTTTAACCAATAGAATTTTAATAAATGTTTGAAGTTTTCAATTTAACATTAAATGATGCATTGAAAATGTAAAATATGTATCTTTTTGAAATAAATTATTTTCTCTAAAACATAGATTATATTGAAATGGAAGGAGTATGTGATATTTAGGCAATACGCAACAATAATAATTCAAATAATTCTATTTATTTTAATCAAACACAAAATATTTGATTTATTTAGATTTTGGCTTAATCTTTTTTTTTTTAAATATAGTGTGTTAAATTAAACCATTTGGAAAGGTAAAAAGAAAATCATTCATCTACCTATGATTTAATTTATATAGATGATATGCTCGTAGCAATAAAAACATTGATCGCTTTTTTTTTATTATAAGCAAAACAAGATCTAATCTAGGCTTTTAGTATTAAAGATATCTGGCCCTGAGATCATAAGATATATAAATATAAGTGGATTCCTCAACTGTCACATGAGAAATATTCGAAGAAGGTTATAAATGTGTTTAGGGTGGCTCAAGCTAAACCAGTTAAAACACCTATGGGATTTAATCATTGGTGGTCAGACTTTCACTCTCATCAAAAAGCTGCGTTTGTATCTTGAACATTAATTTCACCAGTAGTCACCACAAGAGCAAACACCAAACCGGAACACATGAAACCTATTAGTGTCTCTGATGATAATCTCGCGTGAAGTTATCTGCGAGATAAGCTTTGCTGCAACATGACAATCACCACAGATCCTAAGGTTCTTCGTTATTCTTATGGCATCACTCTCTTCTTCTCCTTCCTCTGTGTTCATCAGAGCAAACACAATTGCTAACTTCTCACTATGAACAGCCAAATGCGTCTCTTTATCTTCCTCTTCCACATCGTGAAGCGCCGATTCCGAATCAGGAACATACCCTAACTCTTTCATTTTCGTCACTAGAACATCCAGCTCTCTGTAAATCTCATCAGACTCCGGGTGTGACCTGTCACCTACCAAGAATGTATAGATTACTCCATTGACTTCAACGTTGCTCGCTCCAGGATTCTTCTTTAACCCTTTGCTCTTCATTATATCTCTGATCTTTGTAACTTCCTCCCATCTTCCAGCCTTTGCGTAGATGTTAGAAAGCAACACGTAGTAACCAGATTGCTCAGGTGCTAACTGAAACAACTTATCAGCTGCCACTAGACCGATGTCTGTATCTGAATGCATCCGACAAGCTCCTAGTAACGCTCCCCAAACTCTCTCGTTTGGTTCCACTGACATCTCTTGTATAAACTTATAAGCCTCTTTCACTTTCCCAGCTCGGCCAAGAAGATCAACCATACAAGCTAAATGCTCTAACCTAGGAGTAATCTTGTAATGCTCCGTCATGAGTTTGAAAAGACTCCGACCTTCTTCAAGCAAACCCGCGTGGCTACAAGCAGCTAACGTTGTGACGAATGCAATCGAATCAGGGACGAGACCAGAGTCTTGCATTTTGGAAAACAACGCCACGGCGTCACGGCCTTTCCCACTGACTCCATAAGCTGAGATCATAGCTGTCCAAGACACAACGTCACGAGACTTCATACTCTCAAACACATCTCTTGCTCTGTCTAAACATCCACATTTCGCGTACATGTCAATCAACGCATTCTCAACCAAAACATTCGGTATTAGCTTCTTCCTCTCGACGTATCCATGGATCTTCTTACCGAGAGACAGAGCAGATGTATCTCCACAAGCAGGTAACACACTTGTGATCGAGACCGCATCAGGCTCCATCATTCGGGAATACAACTCCATAGCTTCAACAGGCATAGCGTTTTTCATATACACACCGATCATCACGTTCCATGAAACCAAACTCTTCTTATTATTCCCCATTTTCGAAAACATAGTTTCAACAAACGTAACATTATCCACCGTCGTATTGGTCACTGCTGGTAACAGACTAGCCATCGTGCCAGCGTCGTGACTTACCTTCACATCCTCCATTTCCTTACAAACCTCCAACGCATCATCAAACCTCTGGTTCTGCGCGTACCCAGCGACCAACGAGTTCCAAGAAACCACATCTCTCCTTGACATCTCGTCAAGGACAAGCCTCGCTTCAGATAAAAACCCACACTTTCCATACATCGAAACTAACCCATTCCCAGTAAACAAAGTCGAAGCAAGCCCAACTCTTGTAGCGGACCCGTGTATCTTCCTCCCAACGGTAACATTCCCAGAGCAAGAACAGGCCTTTAGAACACAAGGGAGAGTGTAATGATCGGGTCTAACATCGAAGACACACATCGTCCCGAACAGTTGGATACCTTCGCGGTGAAGCCCGTTGTTCACGTAGCTTCTGATCATGACGTTGAGGATGATCACGTTTCTCTCGGGAATTTCGTCGAACACCTTGCGTGCTGAGGGTACGTCTTTTAAAGAAGCGTACGATTTCATGAGTTTAACTCCTAGAGACGAGTCGCGGTTTAGGTTTTGGAGGATGATTCTGGAGTGGATTGTTCTGAGGGTTTTGTGATCCGGGTTTGTGTCCAGTACCTGACCCAGGAAGTTGTAATCAACAGATATCCCATCCGGTTTGAATTCCGGTTTGGTTGAAGAAAAAGCGACTCTTTGGGTGTGAATTTTTCTGGATTTTGGAAAATGGCGGAGGCGAAGAGTGACATTGATGCGTTTCATGAGCTTTGAAATCGAGCTTACTCATCAAGTCCCTCGTCTAGATAGCAACGGTAACAAAGTGTGGGTTAACCGGTAGTAAATTATACGTCGAAACTAATATAAACCGGATCAAACCGGTTAAATATGGGCCGTTGGGGTTTCTTATAACATGGGCCCAACCGTTACGTGCATAATAAGTCTTACGTCCAAAGACCGGAGCATTACGTCCCCTCCAAGTTAGCTAGAGGATCCAACGTACTGTTTAGTGTGCTTTCTCATCAATCAATGTGTTCTTGCTTCACAAGATTTTGAAAGACCGAATTAGAGGAGAAACCTAGTCTAGGAGCTAGCCTGCGCATTGGAGATCTCCCATGCTTTCTTTTGCAGTTTGACATGTGAATAAAACATACGAACCTGATCTAGGAGCCGGCACATTGGAGTCTTTCTGAAACCGTTAACGATTCTGACAGTGCCGCCCATAGAAAGTGTTTGATCTTTGGAGATGATTTTGTCAGCTATAAATCCCTCCAAAGATTATTTATTCCACAACAGGAGTCATTACTCTAGACGGGAGGGGAATGTAAGTCTTGAAAGGAATCGAGAAACGTGTAACCACTTTGGGAAGTATAAACTCCGTCTTTTGTAAAGCCTCAAACATATGTAACCTATGCTCTTTGTGAGAAACGGGTCTTAAGGATTCTCTTAGCATCTTCTTTTGTCAAAGTTCGTTTGCTTTGTTGTTTTTAATCGCAATGTTTAATGTTCGAAAACTTGAACATGGATCGGATTCATTGTAGACAAAAGGGGAAACACTAGGGTGAAGAAACCAAATCTTCGATGTTGCTATATCTTCGATGTTGCTATCTTTGATAATCAATATGATTGCTTCATACCCTAACAACATATTATATTCCCAAGAATCCCAACTCAAAGCTCTTTCTTAAAGAATTATATGAATATAATAACTAAAGATTCCAAGGCTACAGGCTTCACTTCAGAAACGGCATTATGAACCGGTCTAAATCCTTGGTTTGAAACAAAGACAGCTCCAGAAGACACAATGTTCATCTAGGACTAAACCGGACATACCAAGTTCATGGACTAGCCTAGCAAACTACGAGTTCTCTTTGTAGTGATAAGCAGCACATCAGTGTAGAATTCCAGACTCCGGCTTCTTGTAGACAAGCTTGGTATGAAGGATAGTGTCCAGCATCGAAACAGCTTCAACTATATGCTTTCCTTTGTTCAACATCACACAACTCGCCCTGCAAAAAAGAATACTCAAACTCTATACTTAGACAAAGAAAGTTTTAGCAAGATCAAGTTTATCTTATTGCTTTCGGTGAAAAAGATTTTAACCTTCTGCCATTTGCAGCATCTGTGATCTCAGCTCTACTAGGAACACCAGATTTAACAAGTGTTTCCAGAACCTGAGTCGCCAAAATCACCGGTACTCTCGCAACTTTGCAAATAGCCATAATCTCTTCCTGTATATTAGCTAACCTCTCCCAACCACACTCAACTGCAAGATCACCTCGAGCTATCATAACCCCCAAAGGATTCAAACACTTCATCGCCTCTAACAGAATCAACGGCAAATTCTCAAACCCACTTTCAGTTTCAATCTTGAGAACAACACCAAGCTTCTCATCACCAAGCTTCCTTTTCTTGAGCTCTTGTCTAAGAACTGTAATATCTTGGACGTCACGTATGAATGAAACGCCAACCATGTCAGCATGTGAAGCTACATATTCAAGATCTTTGATATCTTTTGAAGTAAGCCCTTTGAAACGAATATCACTCTGAGGAATGTTGATAGACTTCTCTGATCCTAGCTTTGTACCTTTTGGACCAGCGTGAGTGATGGATACAATCACCTCTGAAGAGCTGGTGCCTTTGATTGTTCCCCAGATTTTGCCGTCGTCAAAACCAATGGTTTCCCCTGGCTTGACTGAATCAAACAAGTAACCGGAAGGACACGTTAGCCTATGAGCTCCAGGAACAGTTACAGAGTGTTCAGCAAAGGAGCCTTCTCTGGTTATAACTAGCAAGTCACCAACTCTGAGCCTTACAAAAGATTCCTTAGGAGGAACATCCACTACTTGACCAAACAAACGTCTCCCTCTCTTTCCCTTAACGTATAACTCTGTTCCAGACTCAATATAAGTAGTGTCAAAACATTCAGCTACATATCCAGTACTGGAGAAAACATCAAACTCTTTTGAGATCCTAAGCACTTTCTTCTTCCCTCTAGCGTCGTAAAGTCTTACGGAATCACCAATCTGGAGACCAGCAAGAAACTCTTGGTCTTGCACGAATATAGTAGCGTCAGGGGAGAGGTGAGGAGGAGGTTCTGTTCCTGTTAAAGAGAGCCATACAATAGCAGGAGAAACCACGTTTCCGTAAGCATTTTTCTTAGGCGAAACTTTCATCACGCAGGGACCAGGTCTTAAGGTGCCAGTTCTCAGTTTTGGTCCAGCTAAATCCATGAGAACGCGGCATGGCATCTCAAGCATCTGAGAGGTTTTTCTTACTCTTTTGATGATCTCACCCCAGATGGTTGGGTCTCCATGTGCACAGTTTATGCGGATAACAGAAGCTCCAGCTTTGAGAATGTCTGTTATAAAGGTTTCACTCTCGGTTGCTTCTTGACCAACAGTTACCATGATATGAGTTTTTCTTCCCTCACAAAGCTTACCAAGTAGTAACTCTTTGTATGATGATGATACCTTTCCTTTACCCTTCTGCTGCTTCCGAGATTCCATTGGAGACTTCATTAAAAGATTAATGGTTGCGTCAAGGTTGGAGAGAACAGACAGGTTGTTGTTGTCTAAACTTGACAGACCAAGAGAAGTAAGGGTACTGTTGAGCTGCTCAGTGTCCAATGACCTCAAAGCCATGTAGTGAATTAAGTTTCTTGCACATTCTAGATATTTGCTGCAACAAAGAGTATTAGGGAATCAGGCAACATAGCAAAGCCAAATAATAAGCAATAATAACAGACCTGTCACATGACTGAAGCTTAGAAGTGTTCCACTTCTCTGCTGCTAATAGATGTGACCGAAGAGCATTCAGTTTTTCGAGAACATTAGTCATGTTTTGGTCTCCATAGAGGTATGTTTCTGAGTCTAGTAGAGAAAACTGAGGTTTAGACTCTGGAAAGTCGAAACTCCAGTTATGTTCTGTGGAGGTATTATTTTCACCAACGATAGCCTCCAATTCGCTTTCAGCTTTGCCTTTCCCTTGCGCTGAGGCAAAAGCTAAGGTTCTCGGAACTCTGATCTTCATCTGAGTAAGTGATAATGGGAAACTCTTTGTATGCCTGGCGGAGAAGCAAAGAGTCTTGCTCAAACTAAACAAGTGGTTTGATTCAATGGGTAACATATCGAGTGATTGTATCACCTGTGAAACGAAACATAAAGAGGTCATGTGGTGTCACTGCTAGGAAAAAAAAATACAATAATGAGCTTATTGACATGTTGTAACTCACGTTGTTATGAGTTGACAAGAGATTTGTGACTGAAGGAGCAGTACTCATATACAAAGTCATATCTGTCTACAATTTTTCACAAAAAAAAACATGTCAGAACTGATCAATTTCGAGATTATTAAAAAAATTGACAAGGGATAACTTGTTGAACACAGAACCAAGCATATTATACCGTTAACGAAAACCTAAGTGTTGTGATTATTTATGAATAGAGAAATCGACAGAGCTTTTTTTTAGGGTTTCTTACAAAACCAAAAAGACTGAAAAGCCGACAGAACATGGAAATATAAAAATAAGGAATATTTCATTTTTTCAGATTATTATATTAAATCACATTGAAACACAAACACACTATAAGCGCATAATCAACAAAGACAGTACACGAAAAAAAAAAAGCATACGACATTGGGAAATCTAAGAATATTAATTTCTCGAGTATAATATCAACCTGAACGTTTATGTCGATGTAACGGACACTAATCGTCAAAAAGAGTCACCGGAGGAGAGGATCAGAAAAATTCATAAGCGCCTTTGGTTATAGAGGTGAAGCGGTTAATATTTTGCTAAGAAATGATAAGAGGAGAAGATGAAGAAGACAACTCAGATTTTTCGACTACGAAGAAGGGATGACAAAAAGAAAAAGTGTGGCTAGGGATCAAAATGAAGTGTGGCGAGCGCGTGCCACATTCTAGAAGACAGACCCACTTCTTTCGGGTTATCTAGTGACCCGGACGCTGACACGACGTCGTTTTCATAACAAGTCTATAAATTTACATTATAACCCCTTATCTTTAATGAAACTGTTAATACTCCCCAAAAACTATTATTTTATTAAATTAAATACACATTTTATAAAACCCTAATTGATATCATAAACCTCACAGAAAAAGCATTCTTCTCCCCTCTTTCCTCTGAATAGCTATGGAGATTTCTGTCATAGCTTCCTCCTCAATCGACGCCGGAATCGGAAGCTGGGACCTCAAAACCGGAACCGAACAGCTCCGATTCAAACAGTGCGCCTCTCCCGCTCACGGCCTAACCGCCGTCGGAGATAAATTCCTCGCCGCCTCTCAGCTCCGTAACGCATCCGGCTCCTCCGGCTCCATCTTCTTCTGGTCTTGGAACAAGGTTCCTCCTTTTCCTTATCCAACACAAACCCACTTTTTATTTCTCCCTTCTGAGATTGAAAAAGATGTTCTTTTTGTTAATAATTGTAGCCTCAAGCTGAAGTTAAGAGCTTCCCTGTGGAATCAATAAACGCTATTGCTGCTAACAGAGAAGGAACTTACATCGTTGGTGGTGGAGCCTCTGGTGATATCTTTCTTTGGGAGGTAACAAAAGTATTGTTTTTTATTTCAATTCTTGTGTGATGAAGCTTAATTGATAATGTGTGAGATTAGGTTTCGAGTGGGAAACTTCTTAAGAAGTGGCATGGTCATTACCGTTCTGTGACTTGCTTGGTTTTCTCTGGAGATGATTCTTTGTTGGTTTCTGGGTCTAAAGATGGTTCTGTTAGAGTCTGGTCTCTTATAAGGTTTGAGTCTTTCTCTTACATCTAGTTTAAAGGTTTTGCCTTTATTCTTATTGGTTTGCTATTTCTGGTTAGTTAGGTTGTTTGATGATCTCCAGAGGCAGCAGCAAGGGGGGACGCTTTATGAACACGATTTTGTTGAGCATACAACGGCTGTAACCGATATTGTTATAGACTATGGTGGATGCAATGCTTTGATAGTTACTGCTTCAGAAGATTGTACTTGCAAGGTACTTGTTTTTGAGGACTAGTAATCTATGTGTATTTTGTTAACTTGCAATGAAAGTTACGGGTTTTTTTAATTAATTTCATGGCGTTTGGTTAGGTTTGGAGCCTTTCACAGGGGAAATTGTTGAGAAACATTATCTTTCCTGCAGCCATCAATGCTCTTGCGTTAGACCCTGGCGGGACTTTTTTCTATGCTGGTAGTATGGATAGTAAAATCTATGTTGGTGCCATGAATTCCTCAACAGATTATGCGACACAAGCTCTTGGTTCAGTGTCTGAACAAAGGTACCATCTGCTTCTTTGAATGCATTTTGTAATTCATGATATGTTGCAGTCATTTTCAACTCTAGTATGGTTCTTGATCTTAAGATGTTCTTTTATTATTTGTGTGTGAACAGCAAAGCTGTTACTTGCTTAGCATATTGCGCAGACGGAAACCTCTTGATATCTGGATCAGAAGATGGTGTGATTTGTGTTTGGAATCCTAAATCACGTAGTCTTGTTCGTACTTTCAGCCATGGAAAAGGTAAATATTTCTTCTGTTTAAGGTTTTACTTAATGCAAAATGATTATCAGCTAACCCTTGTTACTTTGCCTTTTACAGGACCTGTGAACAACATTCAAGTTGTCAGAAAATCGAGTGTTGGCAACTCCAACAAAGCACAATCTTCATGGAAAAGAACTGGGTCGCTATTACCTCCTCCTTTGGAGAAATATGAAAGATCAGGAGAAGATATTATGGATGGTATAGTTATGGTTGACCCGCCGCCACTTTCTGATGTTCCTGCTTACTCTTCTTACCACAGTGCTGACCTTATCAACGAGCAAGTTAGAGAACTTCAGGTTTGGTGTTTCCTCTGTTTTCTATATACAAACAAACACTTTCAAAGCTCTGTTTTTCACAGTTTTCTGTTTGGTGTCAGCAACAAGGGTCTGCAGCAACGGAGATCGAGATGGAAAGATTGAAACTTGAGTACAAGAAATCTCTGCAGATGAATGATCAGTGGCAGAAGAATTATGAGAACTTGATCCAGGTGGTTATGGAGGAAGATCTAAATGGTTGTTCCAGATGAAAACTTTTATCTATTATTGTTTCTTAACATTTTTGAAATTATATTGAAAGATAATATTTTGTCAAATGGCACTTGAAATTTCAGTTAAGTATGGTTTTATTATTGCCAAATTTCTCACAGTATCATATATATAATTAGTGTAACACAAGATTTTGTTTGAATCTTCAAATTTGTTTCAAATTTGTTAAAAACAATTACTTAACGATATACTCGTGAACTGCAAAACACTTTCCTGTCGTATTTAGTTAAAGATGTGAGAATGCAAATGGATTATGAAAATGAATCAAATGGTATAATCAAAAACTCAGTTCAATCAAGATTATACGTATTGGTAATTGCCATATTTATTTTGACCACATTGAACTATTTTATGAAGATTCACGAATGTTCATCGAACTAGGGTGGGCGTTCGGGTATCTATTCGGGTTCGGTTCGGATCTATTCGGATTTCGGGTTTTCGGATTTAGAAACTTCAACCCCATTCGGGTATAAATTTCGGTTCGGGTTCGGTTGGATCTTTGCGGGTTCGGTTCGGATTCAGATAACCCGTTAAAATTATTTTTAAAATCTTTAAATTCATATATACTTTAAATTTTAAAAAAACTATAAAATAAAAATAATATGTAACATATAAATATAAGTAAGATATGCCAAAATACCTTAACTTAACATAAAATTTGGTTTGACTTGGATATTTGGATGGATAATCAATAGATTTTTTTTAAGTATTGAAGTTGTTTTTTATATTGTTTAGCTTCTTTAAATATTTACTTTTGACTATTTGTATAATTGATCAAAAAAAAAAAAAAAAAAAAAGAAGACTATTTGTATAAATTTCAAATATATTTGGACAACAACAAAATATTTTATACATTTTTGATATGGCATCTAAAAATAGTTAATATAGTCAAATATATACATCTAATTCAGATATATTCAGGAACCCAAAGTATATCGGTTCAGATCGGGTTCAGTTTCGGTTCTCTAGATACCAAAATTTTGAACCCATTCGGATATTTAACCAATTTTGGTTCGGATTTACTACTACCTTTTCGGATCGGATTCAGTTCGGTTTTTCGGGTTCGGATTTTTTGTACAGCCCTATTATTGAATAAATCATGTAAGGTTTTACTTATAAATTTACATAATTTATGATAAATTGTATCACATGTTTGTTTTTGACAAAAAAATAACTTTAAATAATTTTAAAAAATATATTTCAATATAAGTTTTTGATATAAAGTTCTTCATTTTGTATAATTTCTTTGTCTCTTAAGATTTTGATTTTTTTCGAAATCAAAGAAGAAATAGCTCAAACTATTGAGTAGAACTTTGTTCTTGGACAGCCGCTTTGATGCTTCTTAGAGATTCCTCCCAATCATCACATAGCCGATAAGGATCACTAATGACCATTGGATCAACGGTTAAAGAAATGGTCATCTTGTTCATATAACTTTGAAAATGCATCGTCAACGCCTGATCAAGGACAAGTGAGATAAATCTTAATCATTGAATAGAAAAAAAATTCTAACATGAAAAAGAATGCTCTAAAATCTTACATGGGGGTGACCATACACACTTGGGGCCATGTAAGTGACGGGATGTCCATAGAAGCTAATTTCTTCAATCGGACCAACCATGTTTGAAAATGACATCGTTGTGTTTGTCAATGCTCTCTTTATTACATTTGCTGCCCTCTGTACTCATTTAAATATTCAGAAGATTGGATTATACTACTAACTAACAAAATTAGCCTTAATATCTATATTTTAATGGAGTTTTTAGTAGATGACTACATGAAATATTTTCTTGGTTAGATTAAATGGAATAGTAATGTACGAATATCGTTAATTTTATAAAAGGAGTAATGTACCTGAACCCCAAACAATTTTAGAATAAAATTACCAACAATGAATGTTAGCAGGGCTTCAAACGAATTCTTCTTCCTGTCGATTATGGACTTGGCTCGTCTGAGATGTTCCAATGGGTCATCGCAAAATGCAATAGAGAATGGAAATATTATGTAGCCGATCCAATTTCCCCATGTACACTTTGATCCTTTTGCCATCATGTCAGCTAGATCCTGTTCTTTTATAAAAATATACAAATAAAATAAATAAACATGTGAAATTTCTAATTATTTTTTTTGTGATTAGATGAGGTTAATTTGCCTGGATTCCAGTAGTCGATCTTATGTTTACAAGCAGAGCTCCCCTTAACCTTAATCGTTGAGGCATTGATTCTTCTTGGTCTCCTATATTATTTAACTAAAACATTCCTTACATTTTTCACGTTAATATTAAAATTAAATGTTTCAGTAACAAAAAAACATAACTATTTACCGTATCTTCTCTTCAAATATTGCGAGAGACCAGCCTGAGACACTCCAAGTACAACATCGTTGACAGTCTACAAGCAACAACAAAATCGCTGACGGTATATACTAATTACAAGTAAGGTCTAACGAATATTATCATATGTCACATCAAAAAAAAATTCACGAAAATATTACCATTTTCATGGCGTTCTTGATTAGCTTTAGGTCATCAAAACTTACGGTACGATGAACGCAACACATCCGCTTACTCGAACTTAACCGGAAGTTGCCTTTGATCGGTGTTTCAGTGTCCCTAAGGAACATTGCCGTAGCAATAAACTCCAAAGCATCACAAAAAGTATTGATAACCAACATAACCGTCGACCATAGAACCATAACCAGCCACATTAACCGGGAATAACTTCTTGATTCAGACAACGAACGTTTTTGGTATGGTAGACTCGGTAGCTCATTAGGATTCGATGCTTTACGTGTACAAGCAAGGACTAAAGACATCAGAGACATACCATCACCAACAGAGTGATGGATTTTCAAAATGGCGACGTTTTCAGCGTCTGAGGTTTTCAAGTCGAGTAAGTGAACTTCCCATAGTGGTTTTGAAGTGTCTAAGGGGATTGTAGTTAGGTCAGAGACGTAGTTATCGAGAAAAGCGTCTGCGTTTGCGTTCTCTATGTTGTGCATTTCGATTTTGGGAATGACGACATGATCCTCTGCCACCACGTTTGTCTGAACCCATTTTTGTTCTTGTCTCTTGTTGTTACCACTTTTCACCTTCAATAAAAATGTTAAACTGTATTTAAATTTTAATTCTCTTAAGAGAAAACTAGTCTTTTCAAAATATTCAATATTTTTGTAAACGAAAAATATCGATGGAATATCTAATAGACTAATACTGTAGCTTTAAGATAAATCAAGAAAAAAAAATACCGCTTAATTGAATATTGTAGAAATATTCATTCTCCTCGCTATGGAATATAATCTTCAAATTTATACTATTTTGACTAAAAGTACTTTCCTCTCATTGTTTGTTACCTTCCTAAGCCATATATTACTAACCAATATTTATGTGCTTTTATATCAAAATCATTAGGATGTGATGTCAATCCATAATTGATACATGTCGTTTGGTTTTAATCTCAAAACGCGTAAATGTTCACATGGTAGGTGAGAAATTCATACTTGTAAACAAAGACGAAAACATTCATCAATCACACACTTCAAAATCCAATGAAAGTGAAAACTATACTTAAAAAACAATGAAAACACTTTAAGCATCGAAGAAAAATAAACTGTCCAGTTGTACTTGTGTAAACTGTCAACACCCTAGTTGTATGTTTTGTTTTTTTGTAAAATCCCTTAATTAGTTGTATGTTTGTTTTGTTAAATAGCAGTTTCATTTGAACCAAACAAAGAAAAACTAAATATTTTTTTATATGTATATATACACACATAATGTATAATATTTTTTTTTTGGTAGAAACACATAATGTATAATATTGTATGAGTGAAAAGAGTGGGACTCACCAATTTGCTGGAGAAACGAGGATGTCTAATCAAAGTCTGATTTATTCCTTCGATAATCACATCTGGCTTGATCTTGCTCTTCAAACCAACCACCGAGATGATGTTGCAGTTAAACTCCGGTTCGTGGAACAGACGCGCAGCCGGGCTAAGCGGTTGCCCCTCCTCTTCTTCCTTCTGTCCCACCTTTATCTCCCGTATTTGTGGACGTCGTCGTCGTGTCCTAATCTCCATAGTTTTCTTTTTAATCTCTATTCTCTCTTTTTCTTTGAAAATCCACTATATATGATTTTTGTTCAGTCGTGTTGTGCATTTGAATTTTGAAAACTTTCATTTTAGTGTTCTTTTCGGTCCTAACTTTCCATTATTGTATTATTCTTAACGTTACATTCAGGTAACAAATACGACTATATAACTAAACTTTTCTTATATTCAGAAACTTTTATTAGTCTTTTCGACTATTTGGAAAATACATGGATCTAGGTTTCTATGAGGTTGATTAAAAGTTTATGTGGTCTTAAAAATCAAGAAATCCGGAGAATCTTATATTAATAAGTTTATAGCTGTACTTTTACATTTTATGTGCGACATCATTTGATATTCATGAATTAAATCATGTCTGAATTAATCAAATCAAACATTCAATTGGATAGGGATCTGATAATGTTATTAGAACATATCAATTTTGTGAAAGCACCGTGATCTAGTGGTCAAAGTTTAAAAGCTTTTAAACTAGGTGTGAGGTTCGAATACCAGGTTACGCAATTTCTACACTAAGTAGGTTTCAGTTCTCGGAGAATTTGAATGGCGAACTATGAAAATTACTGGATAAAATGTTTACAAGAGATCTTCAGCTTGATTCAAAAAGTACCGTCAGAAAGAGATCTCATAAGACGGCTTAAGGTGATTCAGTCATACGTAAATCCGCATAAAGCAGGTAGAATTGTCGGCTGTAATATCGTCTATGTAATATTTCTCATAGTTTGTAATGCATAATTAAACACTGTTAAAAAAACAAAACAAACACATAATAATTAATATCTTAGCTAGGTGTTATTTTCTTTAGTTATTATATTTTTATCTAATCTTTTATTATGAAAAAATAAACAAATCTAGATAAGAATTTATGAAGTTTTGTCAATGACCAATATTCGATTTGAAGGACCAATATCATCTAATATCAACTAAAATTTTCTAACATGAAGTAATTGATTCATTACAGCCAAAGTCATGTGTAGTAGAGTACCCACACTGACCACGTCTTTAGGGGTAAGCTTGAGAGGGCATAATTTGTAAGTACATCTTTTGGGTGTGATGTCCAGAAGTAATGATTTCTAATTTTATGATGTATCATGTATACAACTCGATATGATGTATCATGTGTACAAATATCCAGTTGTAGACATATACAAAATAATACATTAACCGTGTTCTTTTGGTGAACGCCGCTGGTAGCGGCAGCGACTGGAATTTGTAGTGCAACGGAAGCAAATTTAACGGCATCGAGAATTAAAATGGACGCTAATAAACTGCTGCAAGTACAAAATATGGGAAGCGTCTGACGCTGAAATATTCTGCATTCCTTTTACTCCTCGCGATCAGCCGCAGCGTCAAGAAAAGCAGGCTGGTGTTGTTTCATGAATGATGTGTTGTGCAGTGATTTTCGGTGTGATAGTTTAAATTTATAGACGCTGCCGCTGATCGGGGCATTCATCAAAAGAACAGGGCTATTGTGGAAATATGTACACTTTACCATGATGTAAAATTCAGTTAGTCATATACAAATTTATAACATGTATTTACAACATCTTACGATCAAAGTAAGCATCTTGTATATATTCTGAACATACAGTTTTTTTTTAAGAACATAGACATCAAGCCACAAACATAAAGTTCAGTTATTTGTTATCACACATAAATTCACAAGTAATAGATGAACCCGTTTAGTATAAAAATCAAAACTTTTGCTGATGCGTTTTGACTGCATACTTCAAAAAAACTATAAAATGAAAAGGATGAATCAGAGTCATCATCTTTCCACACACAAACAAGCAAAAATGTAAAATGAAGTTGAAATATTTATTTCCAGAAATACTATCCTTCCCTAATTTCTCAGACTATTGTCATCATTTCCGTCATGGGCTTTTCTTCTTATTCACAAGGTATCTGAAAAGCGCTTACTTGAAGATGAATAATAGAAGTTCAGATTACCGTAACCATACAACACTCTTTCACAGAGATTAGTCCTCGAGATCTTGATATCAGCCTAACCCTTTTTAAATAAACTTTTCTTCTCCTCTTCTTCCCTCTAGTATAAATTTGATAACGAGAAGAACAGTAGTGAGACAAGATCGAAAGCTGAAATACTCACTTATGACGGATAATCATGAATCATGATTAGAGGAAACTGAAATCAAATAGAGAGAGATAGAGAGAAAAAACAAGAAGCAAAATCGTCAGAGGATATGATAGTTGAGCTATTGTAAAATCACAATTGTTAGGTGAGAGTTAGAAAACTAATCTGATGATAAAATCCGTGTAATTCACTTGAGCAAATCTGTAAGCAAAAAATAAAAAACAAGAAAGAAAGTACATGTAATGAGAGAATTAAAGAAGATAATATCTTAGACTAATCTGGGCCGTTGAATGGATTTGTAAACAAGGAGATCCAATGGTTGAGATAATGTAGATATAAGTCTCGTCATATTCTGGAGAAATAATCTGAGCCATTGAAAAAGTAGAGGGATGAGTGGCCTGAAATTGTTCCCGCTAAAATATGGGATGTGGGTGTAGTTGAAAGTTAATTAGAGTATTTTGATTAAAAAGATTCAATTAATGAAAAGTGTCTCAATAAAGAAAATTGCCTTATCATGCGATTAAAATAATTCTAAAATGCCTTTGAGTGATATATTTTCGAGATAAATATTAGTGCACTAACTGAAGGAAATTAACTACTGGTGCACTAAAGATAAAATTTCCTCGATTTCTAATATTTTCTTCTAGTTTTTGCACTATTTATTTTTAAGTGGAAAAATAATGGGTGCATATGCAGTGCTTACTACCTGGTTTCGCCTCTGCATACGGCACCATGCTACTAAGTCGCTGACAACGGCACAAACTAAATAATCGACCATGATCATTTTTCCACCAGATGGTTTGTATGTAATTAGTTTATTTATTGCAAAATAATTATCATTTAACATGGTAGCCAGCATGAAGCTAATGAATGGATGACAACTATGAATAAAGATTTCGTTCAAATTACTAATGAATGGAGCCTCGTTCTTGAACAGCAGCTTTGATGCTTTCTAGACATTCCTCCCAGTCGTCAAGTAGCCGATGAGTATCGCTTATGACCGTTGGATCCACGGTCAAAGAAATCGTCATCTTGTTCATGTAACTTTGGAAATGCACCGTCAAAGCCTAATCAAATTATACCAGTGAGATCGTCAAATCTTATTCACTAAATTTGAAAAAGGGCAAATTCCTTGCATAAAAATATAATAATCTAAAATCTTACATGTGGATGGCCATAAACACTAGGGGCCATATAAGTGATAGGATGTCCAAAGAAGCTGATTTCTTCAATAGGACCAATCAAATTTGAAAACGACATCGTTGTGTTGGACAATGCTCTATTTATTATATTAGCTGTCACCTACATTCATACCAATTCATATGATTAGATTGTAACTGACCAACTAACAAAATATAAATGGTGAGTTAGGTGTTGTTTTGATGATGATGATTACAAATGTGTTAATTATTATTCAAACTAACCTTGACGCCGAACGATTTTATCATGAATTTACCGACGATGAATGTTAGTGCAGCTTCCAACGAATTTTTCTTCCGGTCGATGATCCTTTTGGCACTTCGAAGATGTTCCAATGGATCGTTGCGTAAGCCGATAGAAAACGGAAAGACTATGTAGCCGATCCAGTTTCCCCATCTACACTTGGATCCTTTAGCCATCATATCAGATAGATCCTGTTTTCACCCAAAAAGATACAAAATAAGTTTATTATATGATCCTCATTAGAATAAAATTAAAAGAAGTGATAACGTATTTGAAATTGCCTGGATTCCAGTTGTGGGTCTTAGATTTACAAGTATAGCTGAACGTAGCCTTATTCTTTTAGGCATATCATTTGAATTCTTTTGATCTTCTCCTAGTTTCTTCTTCTCTCCTATTAGTTTATCATAAGATCATGAGAATTAACTCGTTCATAACATATGATATTTTAACATGTATATGTTAAAGAGTGTATAAATATTATTTTACCATATCTTCTCTCTAGGTACTGCGAGAGAGCAGCCTGAGTTACTCCAAGTACTACATCGTTGACAGTCTAGAAAACCAAAAATTAAAAGTAATAAAAAAGTATTAGAAAACATATTGTATCAAGTAACAACGGTCGATAATAAAGACAAATATTGTTAGGAATCTTACCATCTTCATGGTATTCTTTATTAGCTTTATGTCGTCTAAGCTTACCGTACGATGAACCAAAGACATTCGTTTATGCTTACTTAGCCGGAAATCGCCTTTGATCGGTGTTTCAGTATCCTTAAGGAACATTGCCGTGGCAATAAACTCCAACGCATCACAAATCGTATTCAAAACCAACATAATCGCCGACCATAGAGCCATAATTAACCACAAGAACCGGAAATCACCTCTTGAACCGGACTTTAACCGGGAAGATCGGGATGAAGAACGGGTTTGGTTCGGTAGAGTAGGGAGTTCGTCGGGGTTCGATGTTTTACGCATGCAAGCGAGGACAAGGGCCATTAGAGACATACCATCTCCTAAAGAGTGATGAAACTTCAAAACGGCTACGTTTTCTGCGTCGGATGTTTTCAAATCGAGTAGGTGAAGCTCCCATAATGGCTTCGAGGTGTCTAAAGGGATCAACGTGAGGTCTGAGACGTAACTCTCAAGAAACTCGTCTGCGTTTGCGTTCTCTATGTTTTGCGTTTGGATGTTTGGTACAATGACGTGATCGCTGACGATGACGTTTGTCCGAACCCATATTTGTGTTTGTCTATTCTTGTACCTTTTGCTCACCTTCAAGTAATCAATTATTTAAATAAATGTTAAATTAACGATAAAATCTTAAAACTAATAAACAAAGGTGAGGAGGAAAAAAAGATCAATTAGTTCTAAAAATGGCCAATTTAAATAATTTTCTGTAAGGGTATAGGAACAAAAACAAATCGCTCATGTATGAATAAATAGTTACACATAAGAACCAAAATACAGATAAATATTTAAGTAATTAAAAAAAAATTAAATCAGTCATGAGCAAAATATGTATGAGCAAACTTTTATCTTTCGCAAAGTGATATTCTAATAAAATTAATAAACTTATAGAAAAAAAGTAAGATATGTAAATTTAAGTTGACTCGATGATTCAAACCAGAATTATAATACGCATGAACAATAAAAAGTAGAGTGGAAATACCAGAGTTTAATATTTACAAGTTTTGGTTATTTAGAGTGGGATACTTTCGTACTGTTCAGATGCATTTTCTGCTAGATTTATTTTGGTAGCCAAAATGAAAAAAGTTTCTCCCGTTTTGGAATTCTATCTTAATCATTTTGGATATGTCCTGTAAGTTCTTGACCAAAAATATGCAATCAATCGTTTGGTTTATTTCTTTTGTTATTTTCATTTTCTGTTTCCTCGCTTTCATGCATTATTTTACAAGATACCATTCTGAAAACTATTTAAATAATATTCACCTGAACAAACTAATTATATAGATAATAGATCATTATGTTTAAAGTATATAAATATATATCTGAGTTTATTTGTTATTTTGTTCATACTAGATAAAAGACAACATTATTTTACTAACCAACTTCAAATTTAATTATAACGCTTTAACAAAAAATACCTAAAGTATAATATCAAACCTATATAAAATTATTAACTTAGTATATGTCTATAAGAGGCAAAAAAGTATGTCAGTGGTTTTTCTCAACTAGTAGTAACTTTTAGAACTTTTGGGTGTTTTCTCTAGTGTGACATTACATTATTGAGAAAATAACCCAAAAAGACCCAACCGCCTTACAAAAAGATAATTGGTCAAGAAACACTATCCAGACGCGACGATCACGCAACACTAGGAAAAAAAGTCAATGGTAATAACCGGTCAAAATGTTGAAAAAGTTTCGATCCATCAAAAATAATTGATTTCTTTTTCTTTTTATTGGCTGTAAAAAGTATTTATATATACGAGTTAAAACTTAGTAAAACACAACATATAAAGGTAATAGTAATATACTATACCTATATTTTAAAAATAAAACGGAAGCTACAATTATTCTAAACGTATAACATAGGTAATATATAGTAATATACTATATAGGTAAGAACTCACCATTTTACTGGAGAAACGAGGATGTCTGATCAAAGTTTGCTTTAATCCTTCGATAATAACATCTGCCTCGATCTTCTTCTTAACACCAATCACCGATATGACGTAACAATTAAACTCTGGAGCGTGGAACACGCGCGCCGCCGGACTAAGGGGTTGCTCCTCTTCTTCTTCCCTCACGGTGGCCTCTGGTATCTTAATCTCCATGGTTTGGTGTTCGATCACAACCCTTTCTCTCTCTTAACTCTAAAATATTATTCCCTTAATATAGCCTCCAATTGTGTGCTAGGCCACGTTTCTCTTTATAAAATGTTTTTGGACGGTTGGGTCCACAATTTTAGATACCAAACTTTAATAATATTTATGGGTCGTGGCGTTTATAAAATGTTATTTTTTCTTTATGGACGTCTAAAAAGTAAAAACACATAATTTAAACTGACTAATAGAATTATTTAACTGACACTAAGGTAAAATATTAGACTGATAATGTTTGTCATTTACACTCTTCACAGTTCATACATTAGATAAAGTAATAAATGTTGGGTTTGTCATTTAGATTCCCTTGAATGCACCAGTGAAAATTCAATATTTTGGAGATAATATAAGCTTTTTAACTAATGGTAAGGAATAAAAAACTGATAGTATGGAATTTAATGAGCTAGTTAGTTGCCTTGTTGTTTAGGTAATATGGGTTCTGAAACGGTGACATTCTTCCTTTTCTGAGATTAGAAATACCGTTGTAAGTAAAGTTCTTATGCTTTGTGGGGTTTTAGCTCTTTCTTAGCTTATTCTCTATCTCCGTTATACCAGAAGATTAGTGTTGAAATCATTCTTAATGTTTGATCTTTTTGTTTTCATCCGGCTTCGTGAGATTCTGGTTTATTTTTAATTTTAGTATGTTTTAGACCTTAGCTTTTGTCTCCGGAAATTTAGAACATACCAGCTTAATTATGTCTTCCATTATTGTGTTTCACTTTGTGTATTATCCGTTTTCGATAATTAACTAATTTTTAATGAACGAAACATAGTGAGCTTATGAATAACATAATTAATTTGGTTTGGCTATACACATTCATTTTCTTTGCCTCAGCAAAAATTTAAGATAAAATCATCTCGTTGGTTATGTTCTTTGTGAGGGAAAAATAACAATAGAAACATTACTAACAAGCTTTAGAAGAACTGTTTAACAAAATATAAGACCAAAATAAAGAATTTGTCATAGAGTTAAGAAAATACAATTAAAATGAAGTAAAAGTTCTTTAAAAAAGAAATTTGGAATAAGCAAAATTCGTCGAAAATGTTTAGAAAAATTGACTACTTTGAAGGAGATCACTAACGCCATAGTTATTGTTATGAACAATATGTTTCTAAGTCTTGGCATGATATCTCATTTGTTGGCTCATTTGAAAGAATGTTCTTTAAAGCCTTTCCTGTAGACACGTTCATTCAAATATATAATTATGCTATAGTGGTCGATTTGTGGTTCTGGTGATGCTCATATACATCTTCCAACAACTAAACTATTAGTTACTAATTTTAAAATTCCAAAAAGTCTTACAACTTGCTTTAGACTTTTAGTTCTTGTCCGCATAGAGAGATAAATTCATAGACTATTTTTTATATTTAGGTATCCAAAAAGAAAAATATCTTTTTATATTAAAACGACTTTTTCTTTTTGTTTGACAGCTACTGTAAGACATTAATTTATTAATCACAATCAAGAAGAACAGTATAACAAGATGACCGTTACACAGAAAACACACAAAAATGAAGACGTCGATATATCTTTTTCCTGTTTATAATAGATAACATGAATTCATTGCAGTGGCCGAATTATCCACATGCATAAACATGTGGACAAGTGTCTGAACATATAAATAAAACAACGATAATGTATATTCGTGGTCTAACACGGCACGACGCTAGTGACGACGACATAAACCATTGAAACCAATAATAACGCTTGTCACACAACCGCGTTCATGGTCGACCCACGATACCGCCTTTATATTTCACAACCATATCACTCTGGTTTACATATAATTATAGTTTTATCAATAATTTATATTATTAAAATTGAAATACAAATAGAGGTTACATTCCTTTAACAAGTTATGACTGTTGCCAAAAAAAAACAAGTTATGACATTAATTAATTTTTTTTTACTCAGTTTTAATAACTTCATTGATTATATTACCATAAAAAAATATGTCACATCATTAATTATATCACAATAATAATAGTATGTATTTTTATATATTATTTTAATCAACATTAATTTTGTTTTAATTTTATAAAAATAAAAATTTAAAATAATCAGATTTTGCATATAAAAGTTCGGTTTAATCTATTTTACTAAAAGGATTTTTATTTTAATTTAAATTGGTGAAAACTATGAATTCAAACACATAATTCAAAACACAATTTATGTGAACAAAACAATAAATTAAATTGAAATAATTAAAATTTATTACATTTATTGTCACTTAAATTTTCACTTCATATAACTATTTTACTATGAATTCCTTGCCATAAGAAAAAATAATAATATTTAAAACAATATATTTTTATTAAAAAATAAATTTAAATTTAAAATTTAAATTTATATTACTAAACTGAATTACCTTTTGAAAACAAGCCGTCCTTCATCATAATAATTACAAATTTTGCTATTGATTTAATAATTATTAATTAATTAATTATAATTTATTTTTGTAACCAAATTCATATTTTCTAACCAGAATATTTTCTAATAAATGTTTAAAATAAAATTAAAAAAAATTATTTAAAATGCAACATAGAAACTTTAAAAATATTCATTGTATATTATTATTCCATTTCATATACAAAATATAAACTATAAATATTTTATTAAGACATAAAAAATTATTTTTCAAATATATGTTAAATAATTTGATGATTAATATTATTCATACATATATATTTGAATTAGAAAAAGATAATAATTTAATTTAATTTAATATTTACTCACAAATAAACATAGAAAAAAATATATTGGCTTATAAAAACTCAAAGACATATCAATTGTTTTATTTAAAAAATGAATTATACTTGACATAAAATATTGTGTTTTGAAAAGAAACTTTTATTGAATACATAAACATAATAATTAATATATTAATTTATAAATATATATATATCAAAATAGTTAATATAATTAGAATTTACTAATTGACAAATATGTTATATCATTTTAATTAGTTTAGTATCCAACCACAATATGAACAACCAACAAGTTACATACAATTGAAATGCATTGTAATCAATTACATCCTTGTGGTATGAAAACTTTCATATACTTATCTTTTATATATTATTTTTCAAGTAGTTTTGATATATGATATCAGCACAATCACTATCACCAAAAAATAATGACATGTCTATTAATAATGATGATATGACTTATATTAATTATGACATGTACATTTATATTTAATGTTAATATATATTTTTGGTAAGTTTTTTAAAATAGTAATAACTCATAAATTATCATCAAACAACAAATAATACAATAATAAAAATATAAATATAAAAATATTTATAAATTTTGAAATATTTTCAAGTCTATCTTTTATAATTATATAATTTTAATTGATAATTTTTTCAAAATTTTATGCAAATTTTTTTAAAAAATTTATAATTTCTAATCCCAATACCGCTAGTTTTATTTATAACATCTATAAAATTTAGAAATATTATTTAATTTTATATTTTAATAATTATACCTAGCGAAATTTTCTAATAATTGTATAGAATCTGATTTAACATATTTTAATAAAATTATCTTACCAAAATTTAATTTAAATATATACATATATATTATTAAATAAAATTTTAAATAATAGTTGTTTATTTTATCTTACCGTTAGTTTTATTTATAACATCTAAAAATTTAAAAATATTATTTAATTTATAATTTTCTAATCCCAATACCGCTAGTTTTATTTATAACATCTATAAATTTTAGAAATATTATTTAATTTTATATTTTAATAATTATACCTAACAAAATTTTCTAATAATTGTATAAAATCTGATTTAACATATTTTAATCAAAATAAAAAAATAAAATAAAAATATTTCCAAAATTTAATTTAATATATATACATATATATTATTAAATACAAATTTAAATAATAGTTGTTTATTTTATCTTACCGTTACTTTTATTTATAACATCTAAATTTTTAAAATATTATTTAATTTTATATTTTGATAATTATACCTAACAAATTTTTTTATTAATTGTATCTTATTTAACATATTTTAACAAAAATAATCTTTCCAAAATTTTAGTTTTAAATATATACATATTTATTATTGAATATAAATTTAAATAAAAGTTGTTTATTTTATTTTAGTTTTTAAATATAATTAACCTAAAATTAATAATGTAACAAAATAATAAATTTAAAGATTAACTAAATTTTATTTTAAAACTTTTATTTCTGCACATGGTGTAAGAAAAAACTTAATCTTATATATTAAAACAGAAGTCATGACTTGACTTCATGTATGATTTTTTTTAAAAGTGGACTATTACTAGAAAGTCATGGTACATTAAATCTCTAATAATCTTATCATTATTATATCTTATGAAAAAATCATATCTATAATAACAAATATACGCTTAACAATTTGGTTTTGGTAAATTACCCCACATCTTCCAACTTAGTCATGCAAAATATGTCAATATATATAAGTTTAGGAATCTTCTATTATTTATAACGAAATATGTCAATAATAATTAAATGCACCCACAATATATTAACAAAAATCACAGACTCGTAATATGGAATATTTCTATACCCTAACAAAATGTATACGCTATATATACTAGATAAATTTCTTTCAATGTAAAATTTTCAAATTATATTTTTTTAAAAAAAGAAATTGTTTTAAAAAAATTTTATTAAAAAAATTCTTTATAATATTAATTTATGAAGCTATAAGTTTAGTTTTTAGCAAGAATTTCTTCAAAGTTTATATTATCTTTGCAAATTAAAGTATACTAATATTTTATCAAACTCTATTTATATTACTTTATCTAAAAATGAAATATCAATCTAACAAACAATAAAATATAGAAGAAGAAACAAACACATGTTTGAAAAACATGTATAATATAAAAAATTTGAAACAATCTATTTGATTAAAAATGTATTATATAATATTATTATGTTTGTAAAACATTTATTATACATATTGTAAATATGT